GGCGTGTGTGCGTGTAAGCGTGTGTGTGTGTGTGTAAACGTGTGTGTGCGTGTAAGTGTATGCGTGTGTCATTCTGTCTGAACGTGTGTATGTGTGTGTGTCTTTATGTGCATTATTGTGTGTGTCTTTATGTTTGTGTGTATGTGTCTTTATGTTTGTATGTATGTGTATTTATGTTTGTGTGTGTATGTGTCTTTATGTTTATGTGTGTGCGTGTGTGTTTATGTTTGTGTGTGTTTTTATGTTTTGTATGTATATATTTCTTTATGTTTTGTATGTGTGTGTGTGCGCCTTTATGTTTGTGTTTGGGTGTGTATTTATGTTTGTGTGTGTCCACAAATGAAATAGTAATATATATATAGCAGGGATTCAAATACTGTTATAGATATTTTTTTAGTCAACCTATTTACAGTTTATGAAAGATATGAAATAGAACATCAGAAATAGCAATCTTTCTCATTGTTTTTTTCAAGTATATTTGGCCCTTTTTCCGAGAATCGAAACACAAACCTTTTCTGAACTTGTATTTCAGTATTTTGTCATTTCGTTTACATACGTCCTTTTTCGTTTAGTTCAATAATTCTCGTATATATATATATATATATATATATATATATATATATATATATATATATATATATATATGTGGTGTGTGTGTGTGTGTGTGTGTGTGTGTGTGTGTGTGTGTGTGTGTGTTGTGTGTGTTTGTGTGTGTGTTATGTTATATATAATATATATATATATATATATATATATATATATATATATATATATATATATATATATATATATATATATATCGCTTTTAACGATAAAATGTAAATGCACGTAGCTCGTATATTAACGTACACGACCAAACATACACTCACACGCACACGCCCCCCCCCTCCACACACATACACACACAGCCCAGAACATGGAAATATTAACAAAGGAAAAAGAAAACAAAAAAAGAATACCTGAAAATTAACTGGAATTTGAAGAGCCTATAAAAATGAGACCAACGTTAAGGTGAGCGAGAAAACCTTTGATTTGTATTTAGACAAGACAATAGAAACCAACAAAGGATATATAATGCATTGAAAGGCGTTTCTTAAAGGAAAACAATAAAAAGGTAGTTTTTTTTAATCCAAGATACACAAATAGGAAACTGTAGAAACATGACGAAAATAAATGAAAAGAAAAGACAAAATAGACAATAAATAAGTGAAAATTAAATTATTATAGATTAGAGCCGTGACGAAAATAAATGAAAAGAAGAAAAGAAAAAATAGACAATAAATAAGTGAAATTTAAATTATTTGGGAAGAGGGAGAGGGGCAGTATGATAACTACGACCAAAGTTCAGGTGAGAACGAAAAATAAAAATTAAAGATAGATAAAATACACCAGAAGAAAATGAAACAGTAACTTGTAAAAGATGTAAATAATAGCAGTATAGTCTATTAATCATGATCTACATTCTGAAAAGATACCAATACACGATGATGAAAAAATAGAAGAGTTACCCCACTTTCAAAACCTCACAATCAGGTATGCAGTACCATAAGATATATACCTTCATACCTAGTTCTATAACATATATATACTTACATACATGGTTTCAAAACATATATATATAGATATACCCTCATACCTGGTTCCAAAACATTTACTATAAACTCTCATACCTGGTTCCATATTCGCCTTCTTTCGAAAGTGTACAGGTAGAAATGGCAGTAGGACTTGCGAAAAGGACTACATGTTATTGGGTCCATAGAAGGTTGTAATGATAAACAAAAATCGAATCCTTTATTTACGAATCTTCTCTTTAGGAATCATTCATTTCGAATTATCTATTTACGAATATTTTAGTACGAATGGTTTGTCTACGAATCTTTCGGTAGGAATCCCTTATTAA